TAATTTGTTACAGATAGAAGCCTCTTATTATCTTAAGCTACTTACGTCAAGATCATATAAATTAAATTTGAATATGTTTCGGTGTTCTGAAATTATAAAAACAGGTTTTACAATGTCATTTTCACTAACATTTTGAACGTCATCGATAAGAGGATAGTTAAAGGTATCAGAAACTCCACGTCTGCGGAGAAATTTAATTGTGAAACCTTTTTCTTTACTATCCCCCCCACTATCAACTTTTAAAATTTGACCTATAAAATGAACAAATGAGCAATTGCGATCTATCAAATTTTACCAATAACATAGTCTTTTGTTTTAAAATCCCTGGATTTCTTTTCATTATCTGCATGGTCTTCAGAATATTCACTCAGAACTTCTTCTTCTTCTTCTTCTTCTTCATGTAGGGAGTGGTCACTTTCTTCATAAATAACCTCGTCGTCGTCATCTAATGATGAAGAAGAATCACTCTGTTTCCTGCTTCTTTTCTTAGCAACAGCTGTAGTTTTGGAAGTGCTTGACTCACCAAATACTTGCTTCTTTGTAGTTTTCATTATCTTTGCTCTAGTATTCTCTTCAATCTCATTTTTTTCTGGTGTGTCAGTTAATATTCTGGTGCGGCCCGGTTTTCGACCACCAGTTCTCTTTTTTCTAGGAGCTGCTAGTGGGAAAGGACGAACCAATTCGGGAGAAATTAATTTAGCACCCGTATCATCAACATGTTCCGAAGATGGTCCAGCGATTGCTAAATTCTCGATTTTCTCAGCATTGTTAAGCACATTATTTGGAAGTGGGCGATCGGTCACAGAAGAAGACAGAAAATCAATATCTGTAAAAATATCGGGGTTAAATGGATAAATCCCTGTTTTGGAGAAGCCACTTTCTATATTCGATTTACTGAAGGCCGGAGAATAAGTTTTTCCAACTAATTCTGCAATTTAATAAATGGTAATAGTTTTCCCAGGGTTGTTCATCATCCATTTATCTGCTTCATTATTATAAAATCGTTTAAATGCATAAAATACAGACACATCTAGTGGCTGCAGTCTGCTGCTGCAGTGCGGTGGCAAAGTAAGTAAATGTATTCCATTTTCTTTTGAAAAATTGATAACATCTATTGAAATGTGGCTTTCATGGTTATCAAAAATTAAAAGCACAGGTTTTTCTTTAGACGGATTTACGTTTGCAGCAAAATGTTTAATGTAGTCCAAGAAGATAGGTGCTGTCATCCAGCCTGATGGTGACGCCCTACCTGCAGATCCATGTGGAGCATTTTTCAGCATATATTCCTTAAAGTTAACTCTAGGAAAAATAAAGAAAGGCGGAACTGAGTTTCCGATAGCGTTTATGCTGCAGCAAACCGTGACTAGGGACCCCCTCTCTGCAGAAGTTACTTTGCCAACCTGTTTTCTTCCTTTTTCTGCCACTATTTTACCAGGGTTTTGGACAGTAGTGACCCCAGTTTCATCTGCATTATACAGTTGCGAAGGATCAAAGTTGTATCGTCCATATAAAGATTCTAGCTTTTCAAAAAATTCAGATACATTTTTTCTGTTGAAGCTTGTAGCTCGAGAGAGGCTTGTCGCCTCAGGCTTTCGCAACGAAAGGTTTGGATGCCTGTTGAAGAAACCTAAACACCAAAATTTCCCAGCTGCTTTATTGGTTTGCCAAGTTTCTGGAACATTTTTATTATTAGCAATGGCAAACTGATAAGCGAGCTCCTTCGTTTGCTTTAAATCTAATCCGTAATGCATATAGCTGGCTCTAATTAAATAGTCTGCTAATTGATTTTCTTCTGCCTTTGTGAAAATCTGTCTGCTTGTATGCACAGAACCAAAAGTGGAGCTATCTGGAATATTTATTTTTTTTATGTATCTGGCAAGAGTTGACTTTGGAATCTCATAATCTTTTGCAGCTGTTCTTATGGATTTTTTGTTGTCCACAATATCAGAATAAGCTCTTTGAATAACATCTTTACTTATTATTTTACGTGGTTTTCGTTTCAGTTTTGTGCCTGTCTTTTTTTTATAAATGCTTGGCATTTTCCTAATCTGAAAGAGAAACAATAACAAAATTTACAAATTTAATAGTTTGAAACTGGAAAATAACTAGGCGTTGAAAAACCCAGTTGGTATGTTTGGGACGTCCTAAACATACCTACCATCTTGTGTCCCTAACATACCTACCAAACAACTAATATTTTAACGGCCGATTTCAAATCTCTAGGTTATGTTTATCAAGCAACACTCTAAACATGATTTCTAGCAATGAGACAATAAAATCAGGACTTACTTACCAAACAGTTTCAGAAGCTTAGTTCCTAATCACAAAAAAAACTTAAACACGAGAAACTTTACCATTACTTCACGTAAAATTAAAATGCACACCTACTGCGTTTGGCAAAGCTCTCAAGTATGAAACTTTGTTCAGTAGTTCATTGTAATGGTGGTAACATTGTGACAGAAAACTAGCGCGCTAAATTTAAAATTTTTTATATAAATTTAAATGTCCCACACATACCTACGTCCCAAACATACCTACACTCCCCTATTTGAAAAGGCTCCTATAAATTATAAAAAACATTGAAACTGACTTGTTATAGTTATTTATTGAAGAATAAAAAGCATAGTTTAGATTAATATACAAACATCATACTATTGAGGTACTTGGTGAAATTCGAGGAAACAATTTTTGGTAGCATTACAACACAGTGATACTTTACAAACAGAACATTTTGAGAGTGGTCTGGACTGAACACCTTTTTTACTGCAAACTTCACATCTACCTCGTTTGTCATCAAAAAGAACTCAATATGCAACCCTAATTGAAAGTCTAACATCGGATGTTTTAGAATAGCCGTGGCCACGTCTTTTCTTAAGAGAATTGGTATTGGTAACTTCGTTGGAACATCGTATACTAGTGGCACAACATTTATGTGTTATTAACCCCAAGGCAACAGATTGACGGAATTCAAAGAGAGACTTTTTCTCTCTAATGTCTGAATAAATAACAGGCATTTACAAAAGCCATATTCATTATACCATATACATCTCCTATCTACACCATATACATCCCTCAATCTATCTGCATGGTCCACACTGCCCATGTACTTGGAACTTGTAATTTTGAGCCATCTTTTTGGGTAAGTTTCACGGATGTTTCCTCACTTCCATGAAAATTACTAGCCACATGCACAGTCTTGTTATCTTGCTATTTCCAAACCCCTATATCCATTAAGGAAAAGCGGTAATTATAGTCACCATGTTTCAGACTTTTATTATCACTCATACTAGGAAGCCCTTTTCTGTCAGATCTTATAGTCCCACATGCCAGGGTTTGTTCAGTATTTAATTTTTTCCAATAGAGGCAATGAGGTAAAGTAATTGTCAAAATATATAATATGGTTTATTCTCCATTCCTCTTCAGTCAAACTTAGGACAACTCTTTCACCAATTCCAAAAGCTAAATACTTAGCCTCTACCGTCTCATTTTTCCCTTCATATATTTGAAATTTTTTTATAAAACCTTTTTGATTGGATAGACACCAAATCTTGAATCCACGTTTTATCGGTTTCATTGGATTATATTGTTTCAATGAACTACGCCCTTTGAAAATAATCATTGATTCATCAACAGATAATTCCCTGGTGCCATTGTAGAGGGATCTAAATGATTTATTCAATGCATATATCATTGGTCGTAACTTATACAGTTTGTCTGTTTTATTGTTGGGCATCTCTGCCGTGCAAAGGCAGAATGATGTACTCGCAAAAATAGAGTTTTGAGAAAAATTGATTTTAAACTTTTATTTGCCAAATTGTTAAATATTTCACAAATGATTTTATATTCACAATTTAGTATCATTTTTACCTGAATAATATATTCCATAGGTAAATTACACATAAATATTAGCAACTTATTTTTTTGGTTGGTTACATTATTTTTCCAATAACAAAAATGGCAATAAACTTGGGCAAAATAATATAGAGTACTGTACGTTTTTTTTTTCATTGTTTTGATAGTATATAAGAGAGGGACTATATGGCTAAAATAATCTACTGCCTTTACAGTTTTTAGTATTTTTATATTTCAAAATAAAAAAAAATAAAAGAATGTTGTCTTTAATGCAAATTAACTTTAATTTTTATTTAGGAATTCTTACAAGAAGCTCAAAAATTTAAAATTTCAAAATATTTCATTAATAACCTTCTTCCAATAAATCTGGAACATTTAAATTTGTGAGCAAATTTTCCCAAAATAACCTTCTTGATGGTTTCATCGCAGGTACTAAGGCTTTCATAATAGCATCCTTCTTTTTAGGAGATACTCCACGAACCGTGGTAAGCGGTTTGGGTATATTTAGTTCTGCTTTTCGTTTAATTAAATTTTTTGTTTCTTTATATTGTTCGTCACGAAAATCAGTTTTATAAAAAAATTCTTGTTGGCCTTTTATAAATCGTACTTCCACTATATCTTTTAAAAATGGCACATCGTCTCCCACAGATTTTTTCTTTGCTGAACCAGTAGCACTTTTACACACATTCTCAAATTTCATAAAGTCTGAAATTTCAAGACATAACTTTATTTCGGGACACTGCTTTATTACAGGCCTCAGCAAAATCGTTAAAATCTTCAACATTGCCAACTTTTTTTACATATTGCTCTATTTTTCCATGAAGGCCATCCGCAGCCATGTATGTATGACCAGTTAAAGGTATTTGAGTTATATTTTTAGTTGTGCAATACTCAGAATTATTAATATAAACAATTAGAGCAGAATACAAGACCCAATTTTTATTTTGGCTGGTACAATTATCCATCCAAATAATGAGGCTTTCTGCATCTCTTTGTAACTGAATAAACTTAATAAATGAACATGCCACGTCTTCGGCTCTTCGCCCAGCTATGCCTTCATGCCACAAAATGCATTAATGTGATGATTTCTTTGATTTTCCCATAACAGCAAAGGTTTCGTTGAATGCAATAAGACGTGAAGTAAAAAATTAGTCTTTAACTTTGGGCATCCTGGACAAAAGAAATACCTTTTGCAAGTCCGCTGAGTAAATCTTTGTTTCTGAATCCTCGTTTTCAGCATCTTGTGCATATAAAGTTCTTCTTAACTTAACCTAAAACAAATTATTATAAAACTTAAAAGCAAACACATTTTTTTTACTTACTTCTTCTAAATGTAGCTGTTTTTTATTTATATTTTCTTCAGTTGGAGTTAAATCCAATCCAATGCAAGTGCTGCATTTATCTGCATCGGCTTGATAAAATCCAATATTCATTTCATCCAAAACCTTTCGATACAATTCATAGGAAACTATTTCGTTCGGATGATTAATGTTGTAATCTTCGTGCATTGCTTTTATTGTTAAATCTGGCGGAAGATATAACCGTTTAGGAGCATGCTCCCTACGATAGTGAGAGCGTTTGGGATCATATGATTTAATGTGAGTGTTAATCAGGTTTATATTTTTTTTATTCTTTGGTGTATGTTTTCCCCTATTATCTTCTTTAGGAAACATTGTCGGAATTCCGTGTTCATTTTTTACATGTTTTAATAAATGATCTATTACTGAGGTGCTTTTATATCCTAATGTACATAAAAAATATTGTTGGCACACTTGTATTTTATTTATTGTATTTTCTTCGTTCTCTTTCGGAAATGTATATACTCGGCAAAAGTTTCTTCTGCTACCTTCTATTTTTCGTGATACTTTTGTCTCTTGAACTGCATTTAAAAGCCATATTTTTTGAGCGTCTCTGTTAAGGTCCCAAAATTGTTTGTGTAAGGAACTCCTCTCCTCTATCGTAAAAAATGTCGTACATTGTCTTTTTTTACATGAACAAAATGATTCTGCTTGTAACATTGGGTGTTTTAGTCTGTTTCTAAACTTTTGTTGCGACGATGTCCTAGCTCGTTTCGGGATCTGAATGAATTCATTATTATCATTATTTGAAACTTCCGAGTTTGCATTGTTGTCTTCTTTTTGCTCCCGCTTTTTGCCTTCTTCTTTATTTCTATCCATTGGCGTTTTTCTGTTTATACCTTTGCTGTTTACTTCTTGCCTTTCCTTTTCAGTTTCGCTTTCGCTTTCTAAAAGATCGGGGTCATAATCAGGGTCCTTGTAGTCATCGTGATCATCATTTGGATCAAAGAGTAAATTATTCTCGTTCTGAAAAACAAAATTAACAATTATTTTTTAAAATATAAAAATAATGTTTATTAGTTGTTATAGGTAAGTATACCATTTTATTAGGTTCGCTCTTCTCCTTGCAGTTATTTTTTGTAAAATCATTATTATCATTATTGGTATCTTGATCTTGTGTGTTTGTATTCTTGTTTTCTTCTGGAGCTGTATTTTCGTTTTGTTTTAGCCTTATTAGTGTAGTAGTGTACGAGTTCGTAGAGTAAACACGTTAAACTTAAGCTCCGTTAATAGGTGGTTAATATCGGAGGAAAAGTGTTTTCTTTTTACGAAAAAAGGTGTAGAGTGTTAATAGACGCCAATACAATTAACAGTATATTCCACATTAAATAACTGTAAGTAATTATAAGCTTTTGAATATTTATTGCGGGTGTGAGGCCACTCCGCCACCGGTTAGTTAAATATGTCACAAGACGACGTAGCAGCAGAACACAAAGATTTATTTAAATTAATTTTGAAAGCAAACCAAGTACAAACGCAAGAAATTCAGGCACAATTTAAAAACACAGTTGAAAGTCTGAGCACAGAACTTAAAAAGCAACTAGAGAAATCGAATCATTGAAACAAAAATGTAATATTCTAGAGCGGAAATTAAAAGAAAATAATATTGTGATATTTGGAATAAATACAGAAGAAACAGAAAATATTACGCAAACAACAATTGGCATTTTAAACGAAAATTTTGGAATAAATACAGAAGAAACAGAAAATATTACGCAAACAACAATTGGCATTTTAAACGAAAATTTTGAAACAAATATACGTGAAAAGCATATAAACAAAATACATAAATTGGGGAAAGCTGCAACAGCTCCCATATTAGTTCAATTTATATCATATCAAAAGAAACACCAATTGTTTGATTCCAAAAAATTGAACAAACTAAGGGAAAAAGGTTTATTAATATCTGATGATTTGTTAAAAGAAGACAGGGAAGAATTAAAACTCTTAAAATACCATTTAAAAAACGCTAGACTTCAACTTCACGAGGCAAAAATAAAAGGCTTAAAATTATTTATAAACGGTAAACCCTATTCACTACAAGAACTGAAAGAATTAGAAAGTCACAATATTGAAAGCAGTGAGGAACAAAGCTCAGACGAAGAGAAGGAAAAAGAAGAAAATCAGTACCATCCAAATACTAAGAATAAGCTGAACCAGCCACCGGCGGAAAAGAACTCCAACTTTGAAACCGACAAAAACAAACAAACACCCGTATCTAATTTTAAGAACACAAGAAGTGGAAATAAAGGGGATTTCAATGTAAATACACCTAGTAGGCCAACAGAACTTTTTAATAATTTTTTGGATTGCCACAATTTAGTACAACTATTAAATGAACCAACGCGAATTACAACCGCCACACAAACCTTACCTGACTGTTTTGTAGTCTCTAATAAAGAGGATTTCTGAATTGGAGGTGTTTGATTTGCAGGGTAAAAAGCGATCTAATCACATGTGCTCTCTTGGTATAATAAAAAAAACTAACTTTAAAATTACTCCTAAAATGATCACATTTCGTGACTTCAAAAACTTTACACAAACTGAGTTTGACAAAGATTTTCAAGAAATAAATTGGAATTTAATTTATGAACTTGATGATGTCGACTTACAAGTGCAATTCTTAAATGAAAATATTTTAAATCTTTTTGATAAACATGCACCTATTCGTACTGTTCGAGTAAGTAAGCCACGTACCCCATGGATCACCGAAACCATTAAACGCATGATCAAAGTTCGAGATAGGGCATTTCTAAAATTTAAAAGTTCTAGATCTAATAATGATTGGGTAAATTATAAAGATATTAGAAATTATGTCACTGGCGCTATTAGGCGAGAAAAAAAAGCGTATATTGAATTTATTTCTAGAGACAATAATTCTAAAACTATCTGGAGTACATTGCGCAATATGAATATTATTGAGGCTAAAAAACGAGAATCTCTTAATACGGATTTTTGGAATGTTAATGAAATAAATTCATATTTTAATTCAGTACAGATGGTTGCTAAAACAAACGAACAACTGCAGTTTTTGGATCGGTACAAATCTGAACCTGTGCATTCGGAATTATATTTACCCGTGTAGAAATAAAAGATGTAGCTGAAGCAATAAACAGAATAAAAACCAATGCTATTGGTGCCGATAAAATATCCTCTAGGATGATAAAATATGTCAGTTTTTATCTCTTGTCCCATATTGTTTTTATTGTCAATACAGCACTCTCTAAGTCAAAGTTTCCTAACGATTGGAAGCATTCGAATATATTACCATTGTCTAAAACTAATTCACCTACAGAATTGTCACAATTACGTCCTATAAGCATACTTCCTGTCATGTCTAAAATACTAGAGCATATTATAAAAGTACAATTGTCCTCTTATGTATTTAATAAATGTATAATACCACCGTCCCAATCTGGATTTCGAGAAATGCATAGCACAAACACAGAATTATTAAATATCACAGATGATATTTTTAAAGCAGTCGATAAAAAAGAAATATGTTGTCTAGTACTTTTGGACTATAGCAAAGCTTTCGATACATTGGATCACCAGCTATTATTGGATAAATTGAAATTTTATGGTTTAACGGAAAATGCCACCCAACTCATTGAAAGTTGTTTAACTAACTGCACGCAGATCGTTATTTTGGGATCTAATGTGTCGAATTCTTTGGAACTAAAATTTGGTGTTCCACAAGGATCTATATTAGGACCACTCCTATTTATGACATACATTGCTGATTTTCAAAACTGCATAATTATGCGGACGATACCCAATTACATTATTCCTTTGAATTCGGTCAAAGAATACTTGCAATGGAACATATAAACACCGATTTAAAGACCTTAAAAAATATTTCTAGTGCTCATAATTTGAAACTTAATGAACTGAAATCAGCTGCTATGTTATTTGGTAACAAAATTAATCGTGTAACACTGAAACATGAAATGCAAATCTCCATTATTAATACACCGATTCCGATGGTTGACGAATTAAAAAATTTAGGCTTATGGTTTGATTCAGATTTGAGATTTAGCAAACATATATCTCAGCTTTGTAAAACCACTTATAACACATTAAGACACCTTTATTCCCAAAAAGATATTTTAAACAAGAAATTAAAATTAAAACTTTGTGAAGCTCTGATTTTTTCAAAAATATCGTATTGCGACTGTGTGTATGGACCAGCTTTACTAAATTCAAATATTATCAGGCTTCAAAGACTACAAAATTCCTGTACTCGTTTCGTAACAGGTCTTCGCAAATTTGACCATATCAGTGACAAGATTAAAGAAATTGGTTGGTTGAAATTAAATAAACAAAGGTCTATAAGTTTGCTAAATATAACACATAAAATATTAACAAAAAAACAACCCTCTTATCTGTTCTAAAGGTTTAAATTTTTTCAAAATCAAAATAATAGAGGTACACGAAACAAACAATTACTGATATTACCACGATTTCAGTCCGCAATATGTTTGCGTAGTTTTTCATATGCGGCTTGTAAAATATACAACAGCATTCCCCCAGAATATAAAAACTATACTATTTACAACTTTAAAAAGAAAATTAAACTTTATGTTCATTCCCTTCCCTAATCGTCCTTATTGATAAAAACAGACTTGGCAATTCGGTTTTTGGTTCGTGTACCTGCTTGAATTTTAATTTTCAGTTCAATTCATATATAGTGGCTTATGGATGTTATTATATATACATAATATTGTTTTTTTTTAGCTTATAATTTCTTTTTTAGCTTATAATTTGTTTTTTCCGCAAACGTCAAAAAAAGTAGACATTATTAACGTCAATTCATGATGTTGAAGTATGATTTCACAGACGCCACTTTTTTGTACGGCCGTGAGCGGACAAAAAAGTACTTTTTTGTACGCTGACAGCCGTACAAAAAAGTAGAATTTTTAACAGGGAAAATAATTATTAGTTGAACTTTTAAACTTTATTAACGATAATAATTATTAATAGTAAAATTACAGTTATTTAAGGTTGCACCGCACATATTTAATGCACTACCTGATTTATTCACTTCCAATTCAAGCGAATTTTGTGCAGAGTTGAAAGAGTTCATCGACAAAATTTCCCGTGACTCCTTACTTGTTGTTGCTTCTGTTACATCAACGTCGACATAATTTCGCTCATGAGAAGCTGCATTCAGGTACAGTGAAGAAGAATTACGACATCAACATTTTTTCTGCAGTTTGTTTTTTATTAGACAAAGAGTCTTCAATGTATCCTTCAGCGACAGTGCTCGACCTCCAACCTCCATGCCGTTTCAAACAAGTAATATCAGCTCCTCCATCCACAAGCAAAGTAGCTGAAGTTCTTCTTAACGCATGGCCGGTGTAATCTTTTGAATTCGGTAGTTTTAAATAAGTTGCTACTGTTTTGGGTACGTTACTAATTGTATGAATTCCCATGACCATGCGATAACATTTTCCCTTTTGAAATTTCAAAAAAAAGCGTCGGCTTTCCATAGCTTGTGGACGTAAAGAAGTATATTTTCTGTAAAGATTTATATATTTTTCTCCAATAATTGTGAACGATCGTGGCTTTTTAGATTTACTATCAGGAATCTTTATATGAATAACAGATCCTAAATCTTTTATATCGTCTATTGTCATGTTCACCATTTCATCGCATCTACATGCTCCAGATACGCCCATTATTAGAACAACCTAAAAGTAGTATGTATTTAAAAACTTGATTGTATTTATGCAGGTTAGAATATTATAACTAACCTTAATTCCTAGATATTGCTCATTAGGTGCATTATTTAAAAAATCTTCAAACTGGTCTTTTGTGAATACCTTTGACTTTTTGGGAGTATACCCTTCATTCTGCTTCTTCAGATAAGCACGTAGTTTCATATATTTGCTAATATCTAATCCATGTTTAATATTCAGTAATGATTTTATCATGGAATACTGAGACCACATTGTTGAACTCTTCATTTTTAATTTAGTTGTCATTTCAAAAAAATAAGCTAGTAGCACATTTTCCGAATAGTTTAAAATGTTTTTATCATTGCACCATGTGAGAAATCTTTCGTAAGCATGATTATAAACTCTACTTGACTTAGTTGGAATTAAATCATTCGTAGCTGCCTTAGCAATGTCAACAACGTCGGGCGGTGTACAGTTGGGTTCTGAATCCGACATAATATAATCTAAAAGAAAATTTCAGTACACTTTACTACAACAAACGAAATTTTGATGCTCAAGTACTTACCAAAAATGCACAGTCCAATTGTTGCTTTAAATCACTTACAATATTTCTGACATTATAAAATATTATTGAACTGTCAAATTTGTTTTTGACTTGGCAATCACAAAACCAGTAACCACGGAAATGTAGTGCGCAGTTTTATAATTATTATTCTCTGAATTTATCAACTTCGTTGCAATCGTTTTGAATTTTTATTTAAATATTAATTAGTTCTATAGTCTGGATGCCGTTTGCGGAAAAAATAGCATGTTTCATTTAGAGCACAAGCACTTTTTGTGGCTCGTCTGAAATTGTCGGCCTCACTAACGTTCGGCCATCAAACATTCAGACTCGCCACAAAAAGTTATACTTTTACTCCTAATAAAACAATATACTATTTTTATGACTTGTTTTTTCGATTTGTATTTTTTTTGTGGGTTAAGTTGAAAAACAGCTTTAGCTGAACTTCGCCCTTTTATGTACGCTGTATATAAAAAAAGACGTTAATTATTATTATTATTATTTTGCCATTTTTCTCAGTATTTATATCATTTGGTGATTTTTTTTTATACCTCTTAGGTCACTTTTCTTCTTTTCATTTTCGCTATCAAAAAGGTCCGATCCGGACCTTTTTGATAGCAAACCGCAATCGGAGTTATTCCAATCATCGTCATTATCGTCTGGATTAAACAATAACATATTTTCGTCCTGAAAGATAAGATTTACAATTATTGGAAGTAATATTTTTATTTGTTATAATACGTATACCGTTTTATTAGTATCGCGGTTCACTGTAATAGATTCGTTTTCTTTGTTACTTTCAGTTTTTTTAATATTACTTCTTGTTTCATTACCTTCATCAGGTTTTTCCTGATCATTGGTAATATTTTCCTGAAGAAGAAAAATCCTTTTAAAAATTGGTTATTTTTATTCTTTGCTTAAACTTGATTTTTGACGTAAAATAGTATATACGAGTAACGAAAATAATTTTCGACAAGTAAAACTATACCTTTTTTCTACGAACTTCATTATGCCAGATATTAAAATAAAAAACAAGTTGAGGATGAAACTAATAGTTCTAAATAATGAACGTTTTAAACAACTGACAAATAGATGTGGCTGCTTTTAATTTTACTTACACTATTTTTATAATTTTATATTGTTTTTAATTCAATAAAAGTAAAATTTTTATTTTCCTGAGTATCCATTTATTTAATAATTATAAACTGACAAATTATTATACGAGGCGGATGATATGTGAAAATATGTAACAAGTTACTTTCGTCTCTAGTGACGTTTAGGGAGTTTCTACCATTAGTAATGGAAATCAAGCGTTCTCTAGAAGTGTCCTATATCCGAAAGTTGTTTTTTCGTAAGGAGTCGTAGAAAAATAATAATCAAATAGTCAAATTCCAAGTTTATCTGAGGAATAATAATAACCATAAAAAAACCGACCATTACCAATCTAGCGCCAATTTTTTATAGCGTTATTTTATTTGCAAAATAAATAACTAATTAGATATAAAATAATAAACATATTCAAATCTCTAGATATTTAGAATTAAGTGTTACAAATAAAATAGTAACCAGGATGTTGGTTGATTAAAAATGTAACAATAATCATATACAAATTTAATAAATGAGATATTTTCTAATAAAAGTGTTATACATACCATACTAATATTTTTATTTAACAGCCTAAACATTAATTTCACTCGCGACGACATAATTTTTACTAGTTAATAGAAAAACCTGACGAAATTAAACGCTCTTGTCATCCGATTTTTTAAAAAGTGAGGTTAAACTACGGCAAAATAGTGTACAGTTGCATGTACCGTTGTATAATCGAAATTGAAAGAATCTCCAATGGCAAAATAACGTACATAGACGTACATTATTTTGCCGTTGTAAATTATGACAAAATGATGATAGTATACAACTGTAATGCCCAATACATTTTTTTGACAACAAAATTTTGCCAAATTCATTAGTTTGTCATTTTTTAAACAAAACAATTTGCTTGGTACATTATTTATCCAGTGGACTATCTGCGGAACTAATAGAGATATATTTATGGTTTAAAGACGTACTTGTAGATCTTTTTTTGTACATTAAAACATGCATAATACCTCAATTTGGACAAAATTGCGAGTACATCATTCTGCCGTTGCACGGCAGATCTGTGCAATATCATTTACATGTAAGTTACTCAGAATTGCTACAAATGGATCCCTAGACATTGTCGAAGATACCAATGGTACTCCTAAATCTTTTGATGTCGACCAGTAGTTAGATCCCATCAACATAATCAAACCTATAAAGACTAACAGCTATTATTATTAGTGTTGAGAATTTTATTTTCTTTGTACATCATATATATTGGACAGCTGAATCAGATTCTGGAATAAAGGATTCATTAGAGTTATGAACACATCTGTTGCCGTGTCACAACCAACAAATTTTTCTTCTTTGAAACCTTCTGTAGACTGATAAGTATCAATAGAACTCAATACGGCTCGGTTTTTCCATTTTCTGTTTATCTCATTCTTTCCTTTTTTTGATTTGGATTTGTTATTGTCACAATTATTTTTATTTTGATATACGGTCACTTCCTCTTCCTCCACTTTCTCAATAATTTCTTCAGAATCTTCCAATTCCTTTCAATGGTTGCAGTGTTCTGAATACTTTATCATTTTGATTTTCTGAAAAATATCCCTTTCTATTCCTGTATCTCTCTCCAGCATCACCACCTGGTGACTGTATTTTAATATGTGTGCAGTCTATTGCACCTATGCGTTGTGGGAATCTGGCAATTTTAAAAAACTTTTGACTATGTTCTCTAATTTTAATTTCAGTTGAAGGAATTTTTATAAATTCTCGATAAAGGTTTGCGATGGCACAGAAGACTATGGATTTATCAATGTCTAGAAAATTTGCTACCACAAGTATCATACTTAACGAAGCATAAAACCTTAAAGTAAGCCATACCATTTTTTCACTGCATGATTCCTAAAAACATACAAACTATCAGAGAACAAATTTCATTTTTAATATCATGTGAACACCTGAATTGGTTGGACTAGAAATTTGTTCTATAATTCTCCCAATTATTATTCTTTTGGTAAACGAAACCTATTTAAAAATTCTACATCAGTCCATTTCTGAAAATGATTTTCTCATATGCGTAAAATGGGCGTTTTTCCTCACTAATAATTTCCATGTTCACAAATCTTTAAAAACAACGTACTAAATAACGCAAAATCAATAATACGAGGTCTGATAAAAAAATAACCATTATTTTCAATTTTTTTCAAAAAGTATTTATTTATTTATTCATCAATAACTATCTTGTCCCCTTCAAAGTAAATCCCCTCAAATATAATATACTTATGCCAGCGTTTTTTCCAATCCTCGAAACACTTCTGAAACGCGCTTTTTGGTATCGCCAACAGCTCCTGTTTCGATTTTTCTTTTATCTCCTCAATCGTAGGAAAACGCTTTCCTTTCATCGGTGTCTTCAGTTTTGGGAGGAGGAAAAAGTCAGCGGGGGCCAAGTCCGGTGAATACGGTGGTAGAGGCATGATAACGGTTTTGTTTTTGGCCAAAAACTCACGGACAAGCATCGATGTGTGAGCTGGTGCGTTATCATGGTGCAAAATCCATGATTGTTTTTTCCACAATTCTGTGCGTTTCTGACGAATTACTTCGCGCAAACGGCGCATAACTTCAAGGTAGTATTCTTTATTGACCGTACGACCTTGTGGCAAGAATTCATGATGCACCACGCCATTGCAGTCGAAGAAAACAGTGAGCAAAACCTTCACATTTGACCGAACTTGACGTGCTTTTTTCGGTTTTGGCTCTTCTGGACGCTTCCATTGGGATGATTGGGCTTTGGTTTCAATGTCATAGCCATACACCCATGATTCGTGATTGAGGAAATTTGGATCGTCGTTGACGATGTTCAACAGCTCCTGAGCGATGTCCATGCGACGTTGTTTTTGCTCGAAATTTAGCAATTTTGGAACAATCTTCGCTGCCGCACGTTTCATGCCTAAAACATCCGTAAAAATTGCTTGGCATGAGCCAAACGATATGCCAACATCATCAGCAACCTCTCTGATAGTGATTCGACGATTATCCAAAATCATTTTCTTCACTGCTTCAATGTTTTCATCGGTTGTTGACGTGCTCGGGCGACCAGGAGGAGCATCGTCATTGACATCGTCTTGGCCTTCCTTAAACCGGTTATACAACAATTGAACTTGTGTTCTGCTCATAGTAGACTCGCAAAACGCCACAGTCAACATTTCAAATGTCCTTGCTCATTTAATTTCATTTTTTACACAAAACTTAATACAGTTTCTTTGATCCATTTTTTCGAATAGTAAAAAATCGAAGAGCACACCAAAACACGACTAACCTTATCTGTCAAAAACAAACTGACAATCCAAAATGGCTGATATTGCCAACATATATAACAGATATGTGTACCAACATAACAGAAAAAAAAATGCGAAAATCGAACATACGTAACTCACGAAATTTGAAAATAACGGTTATTTTTTGATCAGACCTCGTATAAGGTTAGAAATCAAGGATTATTAACGATAACCCGCCGAAATCGATGAGTTAAGGTTAATTTGGGATTAACGGTGTAACTATTACTAATCCACTATTGAACAACTCAATTTAAAGTTAACTCTAGAGTTTTCCTAATCCTGGGTTAATCCAAGAATGAACAACCGGTCCTAAATCGATTATATCGTTTGAGACAGAAACATTTTCAATATTACGAAGCTTAGACTTTTCTGAGGCCACCTCTGCAACTGAATTCTGCAAAATAGCAGCGATTATGAAAAATCATCGCTCAAGCTAATATTTAATTTATCCAGTTACCGACTATTAAGCTTACATTTTCGTTTACCGATCGATTTTTTAATTTTTTTCACACAAAAAGTAAATCTCAAATTAAACATTTAGAACGTTTATTTAGGTACGGAATGAAAAAAAAAATACTGACGTTATTGGAAACCTACTAATAAATAAAATAAAGTAAAAACACTTAGAGCATATAAGACTAGAGATATTATTCAATGTATTTTGTTATGTATAAGCGAGGTCATCACTTCTGGCGTGAGGGGAGAAGGGTAGGTACGCCATTCTCAATGGCGTACGGTTTGAAAGGGTTCGTATTTATGTTTACCATTTATGCACTGTAATTTCACAATAACTAATAATTTAGATAATTGATTCGCATGAATAATAAACAAATTTATTAAACACTGTTCTTTTTCTATTTATGTTAAGCTTTCGTTATACATTATATTCTATACAGTGCTTTTCAGATAAAAGTATCCACCTTAAGTAACTTTTGAAGGACTGATTATTACAAAAAACAAAAAAATACGTCAATAATTATTCGAAGGGGGAGATATCGTGCCATATTTAAGTTTGCTGAAAAAGTCACCCTTTCACCCCTACTATCATCCCTTCAATGTTTTTAAATGGCTTCCCCCATTTTTTTATCCATTTTTGGATTGTTCTCGTTTAACTGATTTCAAAAATGTATAAAACATGGGGTTTAAAATAATTAGTTTATGATCTACAGGGTTCCATTATTTGAGTGACAAATTTTTACATCTCACCTTACTGACTGCAGAAAAATTGGATTTAGAATACATTATACCTTAATCGTACCGCTAAAAACTTGTTGAAGTTTTTTATGATACATGGTAAAGGTATTGGAGATTTGAAAAATGAATTTAAATTACTTTTATAGTGTATTTTGATACATGTGCACATTGATTTGTTGAGGTTATTTATTTGATTTGAAAATGGTTTACAGTTTACAAGAAAGAATTGTACTACAAAAATAACAGTTCTGCACGAGCTGCTGCTAGAATTTTCAACGAAACACACCAAGGAGGTCATGCAACTCATAAGTATGTAATTGATCTTATGCATAAATTTACATCAACCGGGTCAGTTGGCAATAAAAAACATAACCGACTGGAACTCGTAAATAACGAAGAAATTGAAGTCGCAGTTTTAGGAAAAGTAAGTCTTGAAAATCAACAAGCACAGTCACTGACAACAATAAGCAGAGAAGTAGGTGTTTCATCTTCCACAGTTTATCGAATATTACACAAGCATAAGTACCATCCATACAAAATTAAATTGGTTCAAGAGTTGTATGAAGATGATTTTGATCGTCGTCTTGAATTTTGTGAACTATTGAGTCAGCGCTTGACTGACAATCCACATTTGTTGCACAACCTTTGTTTTTCGGATGAATGCACATTTTCAGTTAATGGTTTAGTTAATAGACATAATTGCAGATATTGGGCTGAGAGTGATCCACATGTTGTGCGTGAATACCACACACAGAATCCTCAAAAGTTAAATGTATGGTGTGATATCCTAGGTGACCACATAGTCGGACCTTTCTTTTTAGACGGAAACTTAAATGGAGAGTCATATCTTGAGTTATTGAGAGAAGTAATTGATCCACGTATTACAACAATAATAGAAAATGATCATAATCTTTCTGAAGATTTGCTTGTCTTTCAACAGGATGGAGCGCCTTCACATTTTGCTTTGCCAGTACGACAATTTTTAAATGAAACTTTCCCCAATCGTTGGATAGGTAGAAGAGACTCGATGATGGAGTGGCCACCTAGATCACCGGATTTATCACCTCTAGACTTCTTTTTATGGGGTTATTTAAAAACAAAAATTTATGCTACCCAACCAGAATCTTTAGAAGATTTACGACAAAGAATAGAGTATGAATGCCTACATTTAAATACACACGTGTTCGGTAATGTCAGGGAGGCTTTTCAATCTAGGTTATACCATTGTATGGAAATAAATGGTGGACATTTTGAACAATTTTTATAATAAATTTTGAAAATGAAATATTCGTTCTGTCATTGGAAACTCTTGTGACAAAATCATTAAAATAAAAGTTTTGCACAATTCAATTTTATTTTAATTTAAAATTCTGTAGATCGTAAACTAATTACTTTAATCCCCATGTTTTATACATTTTTGAAATCAGTTAAACGAGAGCAATCCAAAAATGGATAAAAAAATGGGGCAAGCCATTTAAAAAAATTGAAGGGATGATAGTAGGGGTGAAAGGGTGACTTGTTTAGCAAACTTAAATATGGCACGATATCTCCCCCTTCGAATATTAATTGACGTATTTTTTTGTTTTTTGTAATAATCAGTCCTTCAAAAGTTACTTATGGTGGATACTTTTATCTGAAAAGCACTGTATATGTTTTACTGGATATGACTATATGTTCGTTTAGGATTGAAAACTTTCTTTATTGTAGATATAGGTTTTGAAACTGTATGCTTTTAAATGAATTCGTAATCACACATTATTTTCGTTTAGTTCAAGTAGATCATTTAGAAACTGAAATATTTTTTATATAGAGTAAATAAAAGAAAAACGAAAACAAATAACAATAATTTATTTCTAGTAGTAATAATATTAAATGTACATGTTTTATAATAAAATTATTAATCAATGTAATCAAAACAAGAGATAATATAAAATATAGTAGGTACCTAACTATTCGTAATAGACATGTTTAACTTTACAAGCAGAACACAATAGCTTATTTTGCTTTAACTGACTGATTTTGTTGAAACTTGTTGCCAATATCAACATATCCAATATATTTTTGGCCAGTCCATTCCATTCTTTGCATAATTGCCATTTCATCCATGAAAAGATTTAAAAAAACCTTTTTTATAACCTTTTCGATTTTCTCGCCTTTAAATTTCAATGCTTTTTCAGTGAATCCAGGAGAACCATCAACAGCCTAATGTCACTTTGATAAAGTACTGGGATGTGGGAGACAATTGTTAAATTTTTCCCTCACATATGTATAAGCCTTCATACTGTAAAAGCTTAGAGTTAGTGCTAACGCTCTTAATTCAGGGGAGTATTTTGTTATGAAATGATCTTTAATTGCTCTCTTGACCAATTCCTTAGATCCACTTGCAAGAGAACCCTAAAAAATAAACTAATTTGACCCAAAATAACATATATAAATAAAATGTTTCCTTATCATTAAAAACATTTATGAATATTACTGGAATTAATTCTTACACCCACAAGTATATCTGTACTTTTTATAAAAGGGTTATTTTTTATATATCCTATCATACTATTTAAAGATACCAATCTACTTTGTAAAAAAAAAAATTCCCCTAAGTTTTTTAATTATATTTTTTTTTTGTATAGAATCTTCTTTTGGGCAAGAGCTCTAATTTTCTATAAAAAAATAACTATTTAATTTTTTTTCTTAAGCATTGCTTTCCTGAAATCATAATAATGCTTGATTATATGAGAAAATATCTTATTTGACTTCAACAAACCTTCGTTTTTCTTTTTTAAGTTCTCTTTCCCTTTTAATAATAATAATAATAATAATAATAATAATAATAATAATAATAATAATAATAATAATAATAATAATAATAATAATAATAATAATAATAATAATAATAATAATAATAATAATAATAATAATTTTTATTTACTAAAATACATTATTTAAATACATTAATAAGATGAACACATTTTCTTTTTATTACACATATAAATATACAGTAGTTACAGTAGTTTTCTTATTCATTTGCCCATTTCCCATTTTAAATTACGTTTATGGAATATAGAATACTTGTGAAACGTCAACCAGGATCCTTTTAAGTATGTATTATTGCAAACTATATAAGCTTTCGGCATAATTAGCACTTATTTTATAATAAAATTACACTTAAAAAGTTTATCAAAGGGAAACCTCGTCCAAATTGTCTTTGGAAGCCACAAAAAATGATATTTTTAAAAACGAAAACAAGACGTCAAATGAAATGTAATTTATCACAAATACGCGCGTTATTTAAATTCGCCAATCATAAATCGTCGTGTACCTAACACCGAAGGGGTTACCCCCCTCAGTACATAACAAACCCATTTGAGTAACACCTCTACTATTATATACTCTAATTAAAAACACCATCAATGCCATACAGAAGTGTAAGTTGACATACGTAATTATAGATGCACAATTCACATTCAAACATCTTAATTCTTGGTACAATGCCAGCACATAGAGTGTGGCATCATCGCTTACATAATTGGCAACATACCCATTGCTCTCTTGGCTTCGATTTACTATGTAGTCCTTACAATAAAGGCATGCAGAATCGGATTCATCCACATAATCAGCATCCTGACTAAAATCAGGTTCAGCATCTGAGTCATCCTGACAGATATTACGTTTCCTCTTTTAATTTTGGACATGGGTTTTAACTTTGTCCATGAAAGGGGTGCCTGTCAGAACCTGACAGCCAGTGATTTTCCTCTTTGTATTTCTTACTTGCCCCGTAGACACTGATTTGGGAAGATCGACTGTTGCAGAATTTATTGTATGCTGTGCTGTAGTCGACGAAGAAAGTCCAGCAACATCTTCAACCTTAGGCTGCTGCTATACAGACCTATAAGAAAATTCTCAACATTTTAAAATTTTTTTTAATAAAAAAATTGTGTGCATTGTAAAAACTATATTACCTGATTGCATTTGCACATCTTCATTAGCTTTTAGTTAATTTTGATTATATCTGCATACTACATGAATATGTTTGCACATGTTTCACGTAATAGCTGTATTCCGTGCAGCTTTAACGATGAATACATAAATTGCATTCATTACAAATAATTTTGCATGTACAATCGTTTTTCATCTCTTCTATAACATATATTTCTTTACAAGATGAAGATGGTACAATCCAGAACATTTCACTGGTTACTGTAACTTTAGACACATCTGTCTTTTCGCTAGTTTTATATCTGTAGTCACTTATTTTTGTAGATACTTTGCCCTGTAACATGATACTTGTTATTTTATCTATTTTTTATAGTGTTTTAAGCTCTTATGATTTTGGGGAGTAGGTCAGGTTATTAAATAACTCGTATTACTTTGAAAAAGAATGTTGAGAGCCACTATATTTAAAACTT